AAAGCAACCATTAGAATATGATTTGTATATGTCACAGATATTGGAATTATAAGATAGGGAATTTAAAATATATGTTAAGGACTATAATGGAAAAATGTGAAAACACGCAAGAATACATGAGTAATACAAGCAGAAAGACAGAAACGTTCAGAAAGAATCAAGAGAAAATGGTAGGAATAAAAAACAGTAACAGGAATGAAGAATGCCTTCAGTAGACTAAACATGTGTCAATTTAAGAAACATTCAAACCTGTGGAGAATTTTTGTGAGTTTGAGCCAAACTGACAATAATTGCTGGGAAGCACAATCTAATAGATTGAGAAAATGCTCCAGAGAATGGCAGTTTTGCACCTTATTTTATACACTAGAGACCCGCTGCATGAATTTGTTGCATGGGTGGGGTCTGTCCGGTCTGTCCCAATTGGGGCCAATCAGGTCAGGCCAGCCAGGAGGAGAGGCCGTGGGCAGTTGGCTGGCCATCCCTGTCCCCAATTGGGGTAGGGGGGGCTAATTGGGGGTGGAGGTAGCAGGGGGTAGGGGCTGTGGCTGGCTGGGGGGGGGGGGCCGTGGGCGGTTGGCCAGCCTGCCCCACCCCCTAGTTGAACTCCTGGTAGAGGGGACAATTTGCATATTAGCCTTTTATTATATAGGATTATAATCAAAAGAGAAGAAAGACATAAGTGGATTGCATGAAATCTATTGGTGATAAATTAGGGAGGCAGGAGAAAGCAAAGCGGGGAAACCTCTGGGATTTGGATGAAAAGTAAAATGATAGTTACATACTTCTTTTACTTATGTGGGTATAGGATAGTTAACAGTCAACAATTAACAAGACAACAATGAGAGGATTTGTGGTCTCTGTTCTGGTGTGCTACCTGTGCTTTGAGGGGTCTGGAAAAAAATTACTTTGACATTCCAAAGATATATTATTGTAGATGCATAAAAATAACAGACAGTCTTAGTTAAGGTGAAAATTGACCTTTGTCATGGAAGAGTCTAGCCTAGGACATGACTACCTACCATATAGTTTTTAGTTAAGAAAGTTTTAATTTCAGACCATCCTTTTGGTTATTTTAGGTTTCTGAGTTTGTAAGGTTGCCAAGCAGGCCTCCTCTGAGCTTAGTATATGGCCCCTTTTCTTCTACACCTGACTGAGAAAAGAATCAGTGAACTTAAAGTTAGGGCCATAGAAACTTTCCAAACTGAAATGCAAAAGGTGTGATACCAAGAGAAAGAAAAAAAAAAAAACAGAGCAGAATAAATATTTGTAGGAATAATAACCAATAATCTTCCCAAATTAATGACAGATACTAAACCACTTATCCAGGAAGCTCTGGAACATCAAGCAGTATAAATACAATTTAAAATAAAAGCAAACAAACAAAAGCCACACCTAGGTATATCATATTCAAATTTCAGAAAATCAAAGGCTAAGAGAAAATCCTGAAAGGATACAGGGTGGAGTGTGGGGGAACCTTAGCTATAGAGGGATAGACTTCTCATTAGAAACTATGCAAGCAAGAAGAGAGTGGAGTAAAATATTTAAAGTGTTAAAAAAAGTCAATCTAGAATTCTAAATTCAGTGAAATTACCCTTCGAAAGTTAGAGAGAAATAAAAATGACAGTAGTATGGCTATATGGGAGATTACAGGTCTTAAAACCTTCCTGCCACAGGACATCACAAAAGGAAACAAGCCACCAGAAATAAGAGTAAACAACATCCCAGATAACCAGACCCTGGAATACTTCAGATACTGGAATTACCACATGACAATACAAAATAATTATGTTTAATATGTTTGCATAAATATAAGAGATTAAAATGCATGTGCAGTGAGAAAAAGACAATAGGATTTATTCAGAAGATCTGAAAACCAATCATACTAAACTTCTAAAAATGACAATGTAATAAATAAAATTTAAAAGTCAAGCATGGTTTTAAATTTACAGTTGATTTTGTCAACAGATTGAAAAGCTTCTGTCAGTAAGACCTTAGAGTGCTTTCCAGGCAATATACTTAAAAAAACAAACAACAAAAACCCACAATGGTTTTCTTAAAGGTTACTAACTGGGGAGAATTTTATATTGCTATGATCCAAGGCACTTGCTTTTGGCTAACAAGCACATTTCTGGAGCAGCTTGCTCTATCTGCATCAGAAAGCAGAGAAAAGAAGCAGGTAAACAGGAAAAAACAAATGTTTTCAGTGGAAGAAAACACAAGAGGGTTGAACCACTGTAAAGGCAAGTGAGGACATTAGTTGTTCAGAACATGCACATAGTGAAGTAGAAGGAAATATTAAATATTTACATATGGATTTCCTGATAATTTATACAAAAGAACCACTGATACACATGCATAATATTGTCCTGAAGGAAATGAAAACCCATCTGAGTTTCACATTTGCAGAGAAAGGGTCTTTACTGGACTGTGGATCCTAATGATTATTTTTGTTTGATTGTCTTCCCATTAGCCCAAAGCTGGGTGATATTAGAAAATTGGAGAGATTTGCTTACTAAAATGTCAGGTTATAAGTCCTCATTACTGCAATTGATGGCAGGTTATTGTCAATCAAATTATTCAATTGGACAATAAAAAATGTCAGAATTTTGTTTGTTAGAGGCAATATTGTGAAGAAGGCAATAGTTTCACCCACCTGTACCCTACATTAACAATTAGTTTTTCTTCTTTCATCATCTTCCCCTGGAAGATTTGATCTCGAGAGCCAAAATTACTGACCTTGGCATTTTTAAAAAAATACACTTTTATTGATTTTAGAGATGAAGGGAGAGAGAGATAGAAACATCAATGTTGAGAGAGAATCATTGATTAGCTGCCTTCTGTATGTCCCACACTGGGGATTGAGCCTGCAACCCAGGCTTGTGCCCTGAGTGGGAATCGAACTGTGATCTCCTGGTTCCTAAGTCGACGCTCAACCACTGAACCACACCAGCCAGCCTGACCTTGGCAATTTTGATTGGTATAACCTTCCAGGGCTGCATTTCGAAAAGAATTCTTCTTAACCAGAATGAAGCATTAACTAGCAGACTGTCTAGCAATGTGGCAAATTTATGAACATCTATTATATCAAGATGATATATATCAGCTCATTTAGGAAAGAACATATTTTAGGGAAAATTAGCTAGCCATTTGAGGGAAAAGTGAAATTAGATCCCTACATAGACAATAAAATATTCAAGATTAATTATAAAGTTTAAAATAAAAGCATTAAATAAACAAATAAATAAAAATTCAGAATAAGATATAGTAGGAGAATGTTTTTATTATTCTTTTTTTTTAAATATATTTTATTGATTTTTTACAGAGAGGAAGGGAGAGAGAGATAGTTAGAAACATCGATGAGAGAGAAACATTGATCAGCTGCCTTCTTCACATCTCCTACTGGAGATGTGCCCGCAAGCCTGGTACATGACCTTGACTGGAATCGAACCTGGGACCTTTCAGTCTGCAGGCCGACGCTCTATCCACTGAGCCAAACCGGTTTCAGCTTTATTATTCTTCATAGTAAGCTTTTCTTAGTATGAAACAAAACTAAGTAAAATTTTTAATAGTATTGAAATTTGACTACATACAATTTTACTTATTTTTTATTTATTATTATTTTTAATTTCTTTATTGATTAAGGTATTACATATGTGTCCTTATCCCCCCCATTGCCCCTCCACCCACCCCCTTCTCATGCCCTCACCCCCCTGTTGTCTATGTCATAAAATTTTAAATGTCTATGTAGTGAAAGATACCATACACAAAGTTAAGATGATAAATGGAAAATGGAGAAAATATTTGCAAAATATGTAGTAGACAAAGCCAATATAGGTAATATTTAATAGCTTAGGCTCAGGAATTAGGTTGCATAGGTTCAAATACTAGCTATACCACATTCTAGTCTTTTGACCTTAGGCAAGTTACTTAACACCTCTGGGCCTCAAGCTTCTTCATCTATTAAGTGGAGATAATAAAATCTACTTGAGCTAGCTGAGAACTATTTTTATGTAAAGGGTCAATTAAATAATAAGAAAAGGATAACCAACCCACTAGATATTCAACATCAATAAATACCTTTTGATCTTATTTTCACCTACTCCCTGGCAGCATTTCAATGTACCAGTCAAACTAGTCCTAGTCAATATTCTTTTTAAAATGGCTTTTTACCTCTTTGTTCCATGCCTTACTGTCACGGCTATCTCAGTCTAAAAATTCTCCATCCAGTCACATAAAAAAAAACCCATATTTTATTTATTTATTTATTTGTTTGTTTGTTTATTTATTTATTGGTTTACTACCCATATTTTAAATCCTAACTCAAATCCTGTCTTCTCTATAGACTGTTTCTGGTTAGTCAGTCAAAATAGCACATTCTTTTTCTTTGAATTTCTAAGGTGCCTATACTACTACTTTCTACATATAATCAAACCTTGTGAAAGCTTTACTTCCTATAGAAATTTGTGAATTTTCATGGGCTAGAATCACATATTCTATTTCAATGTCCTTATTATAGTGCATAGGAGGTATTGTATAAAAATATTTACTGTGTGTTTTTTTGTTTTGTTTCCCATAACATTGATCTACTACAGGGCAATCAATGAGAAGATATATGGAATTCTCACATACATAATCTATCCATCACACACACACACACACACACAGAAACATTTCCTAAGCAGCACATAGTTTCTTTTTTTATTTACACTTAACTATAAATAGATAAGACTGATTGATTTAACAAAAAAATTGTAATATAACTACTAGAAGGATGAAGGTAGGAGAAAAATTACAAATATCTAAATTATAAATAAATCCTCATTTACCATAATAGCAAGTCAATAGATGAAGTAGAAAATTACCAAATTAAGAAATAGGATTACAAAGTTAGAGGCGCTGCAGTCAGAAGAGCAGAGATGGCTGTGACCAGTCTAGGGGCCAGGTGGTTGCAGTGGCCCCCAGGCTGCCAGCAGTGGACCATGTGGCCATGGAGGATCTTGTTCAAGATGGGGTGGCTTCACCAGCAGCTTCTGGAAGTGGGAAATCTAAGGCAAAGAGAATACTTGACTAGCAGGCTCCCTGAAGAGTGAAGGCTGGAACATTGGTCAGGGAAGATCTTATCAAGATTGCCAAGAAGCAAATGATGCTAATACAGAAAGTAAGTCAAGATGTACAGAAGGGAGAAACAAACAGAAGTACTCAAATCAAAACCTGTTGCCGGAGGAACGGATGATATTATTAAGATGGACTGCTGTGGCAGGAGCCAGAGACAGGTCCTCCCAGAACCCACGCCTACCTCGCCTGTCCAGACAAACACCAGGCGATATCCTGGGCCATGTTCCAGACCTTGGCCTTAGCCATGTTTTGAATTTTTAGCCCCATGAGAGGAAGTACACTGCCTGCGGACTGGTGGAATATTCTTTTTTCATATCATCATGCACTTTGTGTCTGCCTCCATGGTTACGCCTTAAGTGAGCATTCTACACAAGATCACCTACAGTCAACGGCTGCTTATGTTGGACCGATCTAAACACCATCATGTCATGGAGAATCAGTATTGCTCTCTGTGGGGGTCACTGTGAGCACAAAAGCCAAACACCGGAGCATCTGCAAGTGCACCGCCGGCTTTGTCCATCATTGCCAATGGCTCAAAACTGCATCAGGAGCAGGAATTACTGGTGGTTCTTCAGCTCTGTGGCCTCTGGCTGGGTTATTGTGCTTGGTTATCATCCTCTTGTACATTTTAATCCAGTACATCAACCTGTGGGTGCTCCAATGGAAATGTTGGCAAGCAGAACACGTGGCTGTTGTTCCTGCCATATTTTCACCGCAAGGCCAAGACTGCAGTGCTCATGATAATCAGGGTGTTTGTGCTGGTGTCGGCGTCATCTGCCTCCTGCTGATTGAGTGCCTGTTCATCTTCCATCTTTATTTAATGTTGAACAGGATGAGAACATTTGATTGTGTGACATGGGGCCACAAACAACAGAGGTCAAGAGCCTCATTAAGGAACAGAAATAGGACCCTTAGAATATAAGTACTGCCACAGCAAAGAGATCACAACCCAATTTGATCTGCACGTAGGTGCCTGGAACTTTGTTCTATCAGCATTGAAGATGCCTTGTGCGGAAAGGATCAAGCCAGCAGGTTCTCTCCTTTAGACCCAACCATTTCTCCAGAGGAAATGAATGACAACCCCGTTTCTCTCCACCTGGCAGGATGCTATCTTCTGTAGTCTTGCCTCCAGCTCTGCCCCTTGTCAAGTCTGTGCGCATTACAGTGGTTCAGGAAGACTCCTCCTCACCAAAGGTTGCAAACAATCTCCTTCCTGTGGAGGGAGACAGTGCTGAAAATGAAGGCATAACTTCAGGAGACAGGGGCCAGCACTGACCGAGTGCCTCACCCAGGAGCCCTTTTCTGAGATTCGGATCCTGGCTGTGGAGTCAGCCATGGAAAAACTGTCACTCCTGAACTTGCTGCAAGGCAGCAGCCAGAATGTGCCATCTCAGAGCCCCAGGACACTCTCCCAGAGGCCCAGGAGGCCCAGATTGTGCCATCTCCCACCATCATCATTGTGAAGGAGCTGGATGAGGAGCAGGCCCTGCAGGAAGTGTGCCCCCTCCAGCCTGACCAGTTTTCAAAATGTAAATAGGAAGTGCCTTTGTGCTGGGCCCAGAAGTCTGGCCAGTGGGTCTCTGCTTCCCTTGGGACCAGGACCAACCTGTCCTCAGCTTGGAGTTCAGCAACTCCTCTAATGAGTCCATTGAGATAGAAGCATTCATTCCTCCAGAGTCCCCTGTGACTATGACGCCTGATGACCTGAAGCTTGGAAAGAAGACTGGTCCAAGAGCTGTTTAAAATAAAAGAAAATATGTGAACATCTCCAAGATTCATCGTCCCTCTTCTCTTCCCTCCCCCTATACCCTCTCTCCTCTTTCCCCACCCCTCCACACCAAGACACTAGTTGCCAGAGCCAGAGCCCAAGACCCACACTTGGATGGGTCTGCCAGCACAAGCCTCCTGCTCTAAGAGAGCCAAGAAAAGAAGGAAACAGAGTTCCTCCTCTGTTTTTGGCTACATGTGATTTTAATGAATTCAGCATTTACTCAGTTTGGAAGCCATATTTTAACAGACATTATTAGGTTTTTAAACATGTCTATGTTATTCAAGGAAGAAAGTGAATTCAGAATGAACTTGATACAATGTTTTTAGTCTTGCTTAACATTGGTAAGTTTAAGTAGCTTTTTAAGGAAACTTCACCATTTTCTACAAAATTTAAAAGGAAATTATCCTATACTAGAGGCCCGATGTGCGAAGATTCGTGCAAGAATGGGCCTTCCTTCCCCTGGCTGTCGGCACTGCCTTCGCTCCAGCCCAGAGCCGCCTTTCTGCCTTCGTTCCAGCCTAGAGCTACCTTTCCACCTTCCTACGCTGCACAGAGGCCTGGAGTGGCTGGGGCAGTGCTGAATGCCTGCATTGTTGCCATGGTGCCAATGCAAGCATCCCAACCCCGCCCCCAGCTGCTCGGCGCCTGCATATGCAAATTCGCCTGCCATCTTTGTTGGGTTAATTTGCATACTCACTCCTGATTGGCTGGTGGGCATTGTGAAGTACAGTCAATTTGCATCTTTTTCTTTTATTGGTGTAGATAATAAAAGGATAACATGCAAATAGACCAAACAGTGGAACAACCAGTCGCTATGACATGCACTGACCACCGGGGGGGGGCAGTCACTCAATGCAGAAGCTGCCCCCTAGTGGTCAATGTGCTCCCACAGGGGAAAGCCACTCAGCCAGAAGCCATGTGAATGCAGTGGTGGTGGCAAGAACCTCTCCTGCCTGCAAGGCAGCACTAAGGAGCAGCGAGCTGAGCAGGCAGGCGGTAAGGAGCGAGGGTTCCTGGACTGCGAGAGGGATGGAACAGGCCTAAGCCAGCAGGCAGACATTCCCTGAGGGGTCCTGCACTGATAGAGAGTGCAGGCCGGGCTGAGGGTCCCGTCCCCGCCCCCCTCCCCTCAGTGCACGAACTTTTGTGCACTAGGCCTCTAGTAAATAAACATTAATTTTAATGGCAATAAAAAATAAGATTACAAACAGTATTCAAGCATGGAGGTAAACACAGGGGATTAAGAAAAATAGTCTAAAAATGGTAGTCTATATGGTAGGGTTTCTCAAATTTTAACCTAAGAACCACAGCTTACTGGGCATCCTCCTCTGAGATCTCAGTCAATAGGCTGCTCGTCCTGGGTTCTAACTTCAAAAGTAGAATTAGTTGGGCAAAGGCCATCTGTTTTTCATTCTAATTAATTTCATATGTACAGTAGTATTCAAACTTGGCTGCTCATTAGAATCACCAGAGAGCTTTGAAAACTAGTGATGCCTAGATCCCATCCCCAGATGTTGTAATATAATTTATCTGGGCTGTAATCTGTTGTTGGTGGTTTTAACAGCTCTTCAAATGATTTTAATGTGTCTAAGATGGAGGCACACTTTGTAAATATAATTTTCTTTTTAATTATGTGCATAAATTACTTTAATTTTAATATAAAAGTAGTTATCTGTATAATGTGCATGGGAGTGGGAAAAATGCAAAATTAAGAGACAGAAGGTGTGGGATTGTGTCTGGTATGATCCTCAACCATGAGCCAGCTTGTGTCCTTGGGGAAGATGCCTAATCTGTATGGGCTTTAGTTTTCTCATATGTAAAACTAGAGGTCCAGTGCACGAAAATTTGTGGACTTGGGGGTTCCCTCAGCCTAGCCTGCACCCTCTTGCAGTCTGGAACCCCTCGGGGGATGTCTGCCTGTCGGGTTAGGCCTGCTCCATCCCTCTCGCAATCCAGGAGCCCTTGCTCCTTACTACCTGTCTGCTTGGCTCGCTGCTCCTTAACACTGCCTCAGAGGTGGGAGAGGCACCTGCCACCATCACTGCGCTCGCCCAGCTTCTGAATGAGTGGCGCTCCCCCTGTGGGAGCACACTGACCACCAGGGGGCAGCTCCTGCATTGAGTGGCTGCCCTCTGGTGGTCAATGTGCATCATAGCGACCGGTGGTTCTGCCGTTTGGTCGATTTGCATATTATCCTTTTATTATATAGGACTAGAGGGGCGTGACCTGCGGGGATCAGCCCACTGTGGGAGTGCCACTCATCTAGGTCAGCCGAGCGGCTGTGGACCTGCCCTCTGAGCAGCTGCTCCCACTGTAGGAGTGTCGCTTATCCCAGTCTGCCTAGTGGTGCTCCCACTATGGGAGTGCACTGACCACCAGAGGGAAGCTCCTGCATTGAGCGTCTGCTCCCTGGTGGTCAGTGCATATCATAGTGATTGGTCGACCAGTCATTCTGCCATTTGGTCGCTCGGCTTTTATATATATAGATTAGGATGCTACACTAGTTATTCTCAAATATTCTTTCCAACTTCACATTTTTGGGGTAATAGCTATAATGCCCTGTGTTATCTAAAATAATAAAAGCATAATATGATAATTAGACCAACCATCCTTCCGGACAAAGCCAGGATTGTGAGGGAAGCCTGGGTCCCAGGTGCCTACCAGCAGCCAGAGGGAAGCCCGGGTCCTGGGTGCCTGCTGGTGGCCAGAGGTAAGCCTGGGTCCCAGGTGCCTACCAGCAGCCGGAGGGAAGCCCAGGTCCTGGGTGCCTGCTGGCACCCAGAGGGAAGCCTGGGTCCAGGTGCCAGAGGGAAGTGGTGCTGGAAGCTGGGGGAAGGAAGGCCTACTCTTGCACAAATTTCGTACATCAGGCCTCTAGGTAAATATGGAAGTTTAAAAAATATACAGCAACAAAAAGTTCTTCATATGAGTGTTTATTTTATTTAGGGAACTATATCATACATCTTTTCATTATTTCTTTTTAATTAATATTATTTTCATATAAACATGTCACTTTTCCCCATTATGTATTTATACACTCAGTAAAATAAAAAGTTCACCCTGGGAAATACAGATGAAAACAGTTGAGATTAATTTATACTTAATGGCAGAGCAGCACATCATTGTCATTTCTCAAAAACATCCTTTGCTAGATTGCATCCAAGATGACAAAATAGCCTATCCTTCTGTTATTGTGAATTATTTTCCCAATAGTGATTTTTCTATTAGCCCCAAACCTCTTTCTACAAGCAGCACCTACTTGTATTATGTCTACTCCTGACTAACTTTAAGGGGGCAGTGTGTGGTCATAAATTCAGGCAAAACAAATAATTGATTAGAGTGGTAGCTAAGCTCCACTTATTACTCAAAGGTCTTACCCTGATTATCTTTGAGGCTTAGTATAATTGTGCTGTCAATTCACAATCATGAACACTAACAAAAGGAGATTTGGAGAATAAGGATTGATACAGATGATACAAGGGATTTTAGAGTGACTTTAGAATGCACTACAGAGAGGGAACTTCCAATATGCCTTCATAATTATATTTTTTTTAGAATACTTTAAAGTTAGCTTTCATTTCTTGAATAAATACAGATAAGTGGCATTGTAAAGATAGAGAAAGAACCTATTCTGAAACAAACAAACAAAAAAAGATCAGCTGCCCATAATTACAGATGGATTATGCAGAGAAAGCTACACAGCTTTTCACAAAAGTACTTATATTCATGTGCACATATGTTTGCCTGTGACTTTGAACTCCTCCCTTGTAAGGAAAGTGTTTGCCCAGATGGAAATCAGAATCTATAGTAATCTAGTGCTGAAACAAAGGTGAATTTCAAAATGAAAGGAGGTTACAGCCATGTGCCATGATTTGGCAGGTAGTTAAAAATGAACTGAGAAGTCACCATCTGGTGGGAGGCATCTTAGGGAAGCAGCCACTTTCTGTTGGACATAAATAGAATGAAAGCTTGTTGAGCTATTTATTCTTAGATGTTTGCCATCATGTTTTGCTCCTCCACTGAAATATAGCCATCTTATGATCTCTCAGTTTTAGAATGGATGTTCTTAGCTAACTCTGAGCTAATCTAATCAATTAATTTATTCTGAGATGTTGTAAGAGTCCCCTCTCTCAGGTTAAACATGAATGTTTTCAGAAGTTTGACCCTTCTTGTCTACCTTACTAAAAACACTAAGAAAATTTCAGGTGAAGTAGGAGAGTAGCTCAGTACCAAGAAGACGAAAGATTGGTGGGCTAGTAGGATCTTGTTAAGCCCCTGCAATCACAACATCTATGTATAAAGGCTAGAAAATACACACCTACTTTTAGAAAGCAGTTGATATGTGAATGGAGTTTTCAGCTCTGTTTTCTTGAAGAAAAACATTGAGTGTCATTCAAAATCATTTGAAGGAGATTACAAATAATATAAAAAGTAACCTACACAATAAACAATAATAATGCTAACTCATATTTGTATTTTTTTAAAAGCTAGAGTTGACATACAATATTATGTTTCAGGTGTATAACACAGTGATTTGACATTTATGTACCTTGGGATGTGATCTCCACAAAAAGTCTAATAATCATCTGTCATGGTACAAAATTATTACAATATTATTGATTATATTCCCTGTGTTGTACATTACATCCTATGACTTAGTTATTTCATAACTGGAAGTTTGTATCTTTTTCCCTTCACTTTTTCATCCATCTCCCACCCTCCATCAGCCTCCCCTTTGTCAACCATCATCAGTTTGATCTCTGTGTCTGAGTCTGTTTCTGTTTTTTTTTATGTGTTCATTGGTTTTGCTATTTTAGATTCTACCTATAAGTAAACCATATGGTATGGTATTTGTCTTTATCTGTCTTATTTCACTTAGCATAATACCCTCTAGGTCCATCCACATTGTCACAAATAGCAAGATTTCATTTTTTTTTATTGCTGAGTAATAGTCCTTTGTGTAT